TATATAATATAAAATAAACATTAATATTTATTTATTTCATCTAGGAGCAAGAGGGTCAGATCGAGGGAAACAAGTCTGAGAACGCAGCGCATCCGATCCATCCCTCCCAGCCGTACTCGACGAAAAAAACCTGCAGGCGATTTTTCCAGTTGACTAATAAATGTTGGCCTGGTTTTTTTTGGTTTTTTTTGTTATTTCGGGTTTTTTTTCCTTACAAAAGCTGCCTGCGTCACAGCGCTTTCTGCCGCTTGCGTTTCTTCCCCATAAGCTCCTCGCAGGAGCTGAGCTAATTTGGTCTCAGTGGGAGTTATCGAGCTCCTTTATAAAAGAAACTCAGCCTGGGGCTTGATCCAGGGATGCCCAAAGCCTGCAGGGGCTGAGCTGACCCTCCCAAGAAATCACAAAGCACGACACAACGTGCAGCACAAGCGTGTAGGCTAACAGGTACGTGTTTCCCTCGGATGAGGCGGCTCGGGACAGGCTGGAGGTGGAAGACAGGGAGTTATTTCCTTGGCCCGCACACGTTTACGCTGTTCCGGAGCGAGGTTTGCCGGCAAAAGGCAGCGCAGCTCCATACGCTCCGCGAAACGCTGCCCACGCAGGATCTGCAGGTGCTGCAGGCGGGGAAAATGATTTTTAAGAGACTAAGGGTCTTAGGACAAGGGGTAATGGTTTTAAAATAGAGGGAGGTAGATTCAGGTTGGATATTAGGAAAAAATTTTTTACCATGAGAGTTGTAGAACACTGGAACAGGTTGCCCAGAGAGGTGGTGGATGCTCCATCCCTGGAGACGTTCAAGGCCCGGTTGGATGAGGCCCTGAGCAACCTGATCTAGTTGGAGATATCCCTGTTCCTTGCAGGGGGGTTGGACTAGATGACCTTTGAAGGTCCCTTCCAGCCCTAACCATTCTATGATTCTAAGGGTGGTTCTGCATGTGCGGGTCTTTGTTATTTTCTAGAATCGACTTCAGAAAACACAATATGCAGGAGGTTTTATAACCCAAGGGCATCTTTGCTGTCTCAGAAATCCCTCCTCTAGACAGAGCAGAACTCCGGCTACGGAGCAGACCCTGCGCTCAGACTAACTGTATTTGTTTGAATGTTAAGATAATTAAGTGATATTAAAAAAAAAAAAACCACCCATAAATAACAGGGCAGCACAAAAGCTACGTGCAGAAATAAAGTTACGACGATAAAGGGTGGCTCCAAACGGGGCTGGGACCGGAACGGGGCTTTAAAACACGTTCGGAGCCCGTGGAGAGGGCGTTTTGGAGCCCGACCCCTCACCGTTCAGCCGCGGCCCTCCGCCGTAGCGCCGGTAGAAGAAGTCGGCCACGTACTCCGATATCCTCTTCATCATGGAGATCTTATCCGGATGGAGCTTGCCGTGCGAGCAGAGGCAGGCTGTGTTATCGATGGGTTTCGGAGGAGTGGACTCATCCAGCCATTTCTGCAGCCATTCCAGAGAGATGAAGTCGTAGGGGGAACCTGGGAGGGGGGGGGAAAAAAAAACAAAACACAAGAGAAACAAGCCCACACGTGTCAGCTGATATAAAAACCCAGCAGCTGGTGTTTTTATAATTACTCCGATATTCAACAGCACTTTTAAAAACTAACAGGCTTATCCCTGCGGGATAAGTTTCCAAATATCTGACACAGCTCCTCTTGTCCGATTCTCCTCTCCGCAGGTTTCGCAGACGGGAGCGATGGAATTCAGACACGCAAGAAGCAGAGGTCATTTCGGATTTAAGCGATCGATACGGAACAACGGAGCGCTCCAAGTAGGAAAGGGAGTGTTTTCGGACTCCTAAACCTTCAGGGGCTCACTGGACAGCAGTCGAGGAAAGGGGAACGTTTTCCTATCGTCCATCGAGGGATAAATTAACATTTAAATTACGATTGTACATAAAGGCTCTTGTATAACAGAACAAACTCATCACGGCAAATCGGGGGAAAAAAAAGGTAAAACCAGCAAAGAGCCCAGGTCAGCGTTCACCCCGTCCCTTCAGCACCCAAAATTTCAGTGTCATTCCAGGCTGCTCTCGCAGCTCCAGGTGAGAAACACTCACGTGTTTTAAAGTTTAGAGTGCAAATGGAAATTTGCTCACGTTTTTTAGCTTAAGCAGGATTTTTTTTTTTTTTTTTTTTTTGAGACGGAGCAGCAGACTTGCCCTTGTTTGCTAAAGGAGAAACTCCTCGCCCGAAGCCCAGGTTCAGGAATGGGTCAGTGCCTGGATGAGCAGTGAAATAACTTTGGGTGCAACTCCTGGATTTCCATACCGAGACCCAGGATCGATACGGAAACCTTTCTGCGAGATAATTCGGAAACGAGGAGGAAATTAAACCCATCCTGCTGATGCATCGAGGGCAGCTCTGAAACCGAGGGGAAAACGCAAGCGTTAGTTGTATTTATCAGACAAACACAAATCCTTAAGGTTTCGCACAAGGAAGCGACAGAGAAGCCACAGGAAAAGACTTTGTCTTCCAGCTCGCGCTGGATCCTCGCGACGCCGGGCTTTTCTGCGGGAGAAATCGGCAGCGTTTCCATCTTACGCAACGCCGTCAGGGACACGCGGCCGTGACCTCCAGAGAATTGCAACGCTGTCAGAAACGGTTTGCTGCTTTGGGATGAAAGCTGCCTCCGCCGGAAAGTACATTTTTTTCTGGGGCAGGCTGCACAAAGCTGGCAGAAAACGTTGTCTGCACAGCTGCAGAGAGAGTCCCGAGCTGCTGCGGGATGGGATTCAGAGCAGCTCCGGGCTGACACTGCCTCCAGCTGTGCAAAGCCAATGTGCCCAGGACATGCCCAGCAGCAGGTGCTGGGTGCCCTCAGGGCAGCGTTTCAGGTCCTGCCATCTCAAAATCGGGGCAGAGGAGCTTTACCCACACCTACAAACCCATCTTTTTCAGATTTATCCCTCTGCCATGTTCAAAATGCTGAGAGCAAACTGCTAAGGGGGACAGAAAACACACCGGAGTCGTGCTTGTCCCTCCATTTAACGGTGACCCATGGCAGGTTTGTGCCCCCACCATGGCTTTGGCTGAACGGGGAGGTGTCAATGTGGCTCGGGCTCGCGGGGACTCGGCAACGTGAGCTGCGACTCTCTCCTGCTCGTGAGTTAAGCGCCCGGCGCCCGCAAACGGGGGATCGTGAACGGAAGAGGCACGGGAACGTTCATGGGAGCCGAGGAGCCCGCTGGTCGGCTGCTCGAATCTCGCCGCTGGGTCTGAGCCTCGGATGGTAAAAGTGAAACCTCCAATTGTCTGACAGGGTAATTCATTAAACCCATTTTGAAATCTTCAAGTAGAAATTTTCAAGCGTTTTTAGGAGAGGCACACAGCGGAGAGAAATTCCCCACGTTGGATGGACGGAGCAAGTGCTCCTACGCTTGTTTTCAGGGAGATAGGGGAGAAAAAACAAGGGAGAGGAATAAATATCCTTGTGCTCAGACAAGGAGGAGCAGGAAAGGACTAATCCCAGTCACTCATGGGACAAACTACGAAGCTCAGGCACTGGGCTTCAAAGCACTGGCAGGGATGAAGCGAATCACTTTCTGCTGGAGGTCAGGCGTTCTCCTACCCCGACACCTGCTGATTAATTCCCATCAACAGCTCCCAAATTTGCTGCTGAGTCGGCAATTCGAGACCGGGCAGTTATTTGCCTCGATGTTACCAACTCCTAACGAGCCGAGCCACTCATCAGGCAGAAGGAAACAGTCTCAACGCTTGGAAGCACACAGGAGATTGATGGAGAAGGAGCAAGAGGGAATTAGAGATGCCAGAGGCCATAAGAACGAGCAAAAAAAAAAAAAGGAGAAAAATAGGTTAAGGCAGAAAAAACAAGGGAGGGGAAGCAAATCCTAAGCATGAACATGGCAACAACAGACAGCGATCGCTTTGGTCTTCGAGGGCTACAGCTAACGTGGAGCCGACGTGAGCTGTGGGCGAGTTACAGATCGTTACTCATCTTAACAACGCTTCTAATTACGAAATACGACCGCAACGTCTTACAGACCAGCTTCGGCGGGCAGCCTTTTGTAGAGCTCCTTCACCTCCTCGTGTTTGATCTTGCCCCTGGCCACGCTCTGCTTGCGCATCTCGGCCATCTCGTTGCACCACTCCTCGAACTTGCAGTTATCGCGCTCGACCAGCTCCTGCAGAAAAGCTGGTGGGGAAGAAGGAAAAACAGTCATTTCAAGGAGAAAAAAAAAAAAAAGTCAATTATATTCATTATCCCTGCGATAGGTTATCTGGGGATAACGAGCAAGTCTAAGAATTCCCCAGCTATGGGCGTACGAGGTCTTTCCGAAAGCCCAAGCGTGCGGATGTCGCCGTCACCAATATTTACGGCCATAAATGATTAAATGCAACTATCCTGCACGATACGATGTCGCCCAGGAAAATAATTTCCTCGGGCTCGGGCGCTGCCTTAAGAGAAATCCTTCGCTCTCCACCAAGCCTGAACGCCGAGCGCTGGCAGTCATGCCAAGCACGCCGGGGCTTGGCGAGAGGCCGCCGAGGCGGCGCCGCGCG